CACCGCCTTAACAAACAAGATACTATTGCTTGACATTTATATATTATATTTTTTTACTCAGGACCATAGCCTCTTAGCTAAATTCTATAAAATACTTAGAATCAAATATCAGATCATTGTTTTTAACCTTACTGTAATCTAAATATGATTAAAGTACCAGGTGTGTTTATGTGATGCATTGTAACATATTTTGCAAATCTTAGATAACAGTTGACCTTTAATTATTTCCTTATTCAATTCAGCTCCCTCTCACACCCATTATTTATCCCATCCCATGAACTGTAATCTTATGAATTACACTTCCCACTATGTCCCTGTTCTCTTCATTTGAACCTTTTAAATGCTTTCACTGAAATCTAGCTTTTTCCAGCTGACACTTTGTGCCTTAAAAACCCTCCATGTCAACTTGTGGAAAGAACAATCAGCCTATTTTATGTTTCCCAACACTACTTACTGATGTTATACCATCATCATCTCTCTGAAATCTATGCCATCTGATTAGGTCATCCTTGGCTGTAATAATAACTTCGACTTTCCTGGATGAATCAGCACTTTCTTCTGGACTGGTCTCTTGTTATACAGATCTTTTTTGAAGCCCACATTGATAACCCACTCTGTCTCTCAATTCACTGGCTTCTCAGAGCTTTTTTCCATTTCTATGTGAGCCATCCAATAGCATGCCCACACCTTGGATCAGCTCTTAAATGAAGCAGTTCTTCCTGACCAGTCTCATCTCTTTTTTCCTTATACATCTTGAATGCATCCCTTTCTCTGATTTCTACTCTCGTCTATATTTTAATTACTTTACCTCTTCTGTTTACCCCACTCCATTAGCTCCTTTCTGATGTCATTTGCATTTAGAACCAAGGGTCAGTCTAGTAGTCTTCATCCCTTGGCTTTTTGCTGTGGTTCATTTGCCTACTTTTTATTTCTCTACAATAGTTCCATGTTCCATTTCTAAATTAATACATGAAAATGCAACCTAGTTATTTGCATTTTATAATGGCATCCACTTTTTTCTATTAGATTGTTTTAATTTTAAAATCAGGAAGCTTTACTGATTTTAAAATTCACTGTCAGCTGCCTGATTTTAACTAGACCTCTCTGCTTCTCAATGCAATATTTTCTTTTGTAACCCTTCTAGTGGTGTGTTCAAAATGTTTTCTATATTCCAAGTGCTTAAATCTAACATACCTTCCCAGGAAATGACCTTGCCTCCTGCTTACTAGAAAAAAATAGAATCTATCTGCCAAATTCTCATCTATCTCCTCTATATCAGAATGTCTGTATCCATGCTATGTCCAAGTTTATTTTAACAAAGAGGTTTGTAGATTATTTTACAATAATCTTCCTTTACTCAGAAAGATGCATCTTCCTTTTCAGGGATAACTGTCCTCTTCTAGAGCTTTCTTTAACAATTGAATTCTCCCTTCCTCTCCCCCACTCTCTATCATTTTACCCTCTCTGGTTCATTTTTTTATTACAGTTTACTTTCAATATTATTTTGTACTAGAGGCCCAGTGCACGAATTCGTGCATGGGTGGGGTCCCTCTGGGTGTCCTGCAGGGATCAGGCCGAAACCCGCAGTCCAATGCTGCCTGCATGTGCCTGCCGAGGGCTCACACCCAATCAGTCCCAGTCAGGAGAGGCTCGCGCTACCAGAGCAGCAGTCGCCAGCCATGAGCCCTGCTTTGGGCACCCTCCCAAGATAGTGGCCTGTGGGATCGGGCTGACACTGGCTCTCCGCATCCCCCAAGAGGTCCCTGATTGCGAGAGGGAACAGGCCAGGATGAGGGACCCCACCGGTGCACAATCGGGCCGGGGAGGGGCCACGGGAGGGCTCCAGGGCATGTCCAGCCCATTTCACTCAGTCCCGATCAGCTGGACCCCAGCAGTAAGCTAATCTACCAATTGGAGCATCTGCCCCCTGGTGGTCAGTGCACAACATAGTGACTGGTCGATCGGTCAACTGCCCGCTGGTGATCAGTGCACATCTTAGCGAGCGGTTGAGCAGCCTTAGCATATCATTAGTGTGTTATGCTTTGATTGGTTGTTCAGTTGTTCTGCTCTTCGGTCTATTTGCATATTACCCTTTTATTATATAGTATTGGTTTCAGGTCTACAGCAAAGTGGTCAATAGTCATATACTTTACATAGTGTTCCCCATGACATTTCCAGTACCCACCTGGCACCATGCATAGTTCTCAAAGTATTATTGGCTTTATTCCCTATTCTGTACTTTAATTCATTTCTGACCAGTAGATTATTAAGTCAGAAATTGAAGAGTTTGGAATTTTACTCTATTCGAAGACTTGTTAGCCTGCCACAGCTTTATATACATACTAGAAGCCCTGTGCACGGATTCGTGTACTGGTAGGGCCCCTCAGCCTGGCCTGCGGGGATCTGGCCAAAACCAGCCCAATGCACGGATTCATTCAGGGGTTTCCGGCCCATCTCGCCCAGCCCCAATTGGTCGGACCCCAGCAGCAAGCTAACCTACCGGACAGAGCATCTTCCCCCTGGTGGTCATTGCACATCATAGCGACTGGTCAAATGGTCGAACAAACAGTCAGACACTTAGTATACTAGGCTTTTATTATATAGGATACTGACAGAAAACACAAGACCCATGGGTCAGAGAAAAAGACCATTTATTGCTCAGGGTGAAAACAACCACATCCCTGGCTGGTTTGGCTAAGTGGATAGAGCGTTGGACTGGAGACTGAAGGGTACCAGGTTCAATTCCAGTCAAGGGCACATGCCCAGGTTGCAGGCTTGATCCCCATTGGGGGGCATGCAGGAGGCAGCCAATCGGTGGTTCTCTCTCATCATTGATGTTTCTATCTCCCTCCCTCTCCTTTCCTCTCTGAATCAATAAAAACATTAAAACACACACACAAAAACACCAAAGCAATATCTTGCAACACATCCTAAGCCCCAATTACTATAAGGCAATATAGTGAGAGCCAGATGTTACCTGTGCATGCAGCAGGGTGTGTTACAGGAAGGAAACTCCAAAATAAGGAAGAGAGACAGACAGGCACACCTTATCTTGCCTCTGTAATGTAAGCAAATTTTCACCAAAAAGGGAGAAGGAGACTACTCCCCTGGCATGTCTCCAAAGCGGGAAATGTTCTCTATCTTCATTATACTGGTCAGGAAGCAAATCTTCCCTCTGACCTTAAAGTAGACATTATCTCTAGTTTTCAAGGAAGTTTGTTATGTAAGCCCCTTCACTCAAAAGACCTGGACCATACAGAAACATGCAATATTCATGGAGAATTGTCTCCCAACACAAATTTTCCCAGGTGTATTATCTTCAAACATATCTTATACTAGAGGACTGGTGCACAAAAATTTGTGCACTCGGGGGGCGTCCCTCAGCCCGGCCTATGCCCTCTTGCAGTCTGGGACCCCTCGGAGGATGTCCACCTGCTGGCTTAGGCCCGCTCCCTGGGGGATCGGGCCCAAACTGGCAGTCAGACATCCCTCTGAAAGCCCGGCAGCCCTAGGGGGATGTCCACTTGCCAGCAGGGAGCAGGCCTAAGCTGCAGTCAGACATCCTTAGTGCTGCAGAGGAGGCGGGAGAGGCTCCCACCACCACCGCTGTACTGGCAGCCATCAGCCTGGCTTGTGGCTGAGCAGAGCTCCCCCTGTGGGAGCACACTGACCACCAGGGGGCAGCTCCTGCATTGAGCATCTGCCCCCTGGTGGTCAGTGTGTGTCATAGTGACCAGTCATTCCCAGTCTTTCTGCTGTTAGGGTCAGTTTGCATATTACCCTTTTATTATATAGGATAGAGGCCTGGTGCATGGGTGGGGGCTGGCTGGTTTGCCCTGAAGGGTGTCCCGGATCAGGGTGGGGGTCCCGCTGGGGTGCCTGGCCAGCCTGGGTGAGGGGCTGAGGGCTGTTTGCAGCTGGTCACATCCCCTTCAGGGTAGGGGTCCCCACTGGGGTGCCTGACCAGTCTGGGTGAGGGGCTGAAGGCCGTTTTCAGGTTGGCCCAGCCCCTCAGCAACGGAAGCTCCCAGCCTCTCCTTTTTTCTTTTTTCTTTTTTTATTCTGGGATTTATTTACCTTCTATAATTGAAACTTTGTAGCCTTGAGAGGAGCTCAGAGCCGGCCAGGGCGGGCGGGAGGGAAGCCTCCTGCCTGCTCCAGCTCCGTGGCCTCGGCCAGCTGAAAGCAGGTGTCTGGGGTTTATTTACCTTCTATAATTGAAACTTTGTTGCTTTGAGTGGAGCTCAGAGCCCGACACGGCAAGCAGGAACCTTGGCTTTCTCCATCACTGGAGCAAGCAAGCCTCCTGCTCGCTTCAGCTGCATGGCTGCCGGCCGCCATCTTGGTTGGGTTAATTTGCATATCTTGCTGATTAGCCAATGGGAGGCGTAGTGAAGGTATGGTCAATTACCATGTTTGTCTATTATTAGATAGGATTCTTCGTACCTACCTGCTTTACTTTGTTTAACAAGTATTTGAGGATCTGCTGTTTGCAAGGCTTTGTGAAGGAAGGAAGGAAGTATACTAGATATGGTATCTGCTTATTATCCTTGTGTTAATTTTTTGGTCCCTTGTTTCCTTTTACTACTTCACTACATCTTAGGGGAAATAATCTTTGTAGAACACTCAGCCATAGTGCTATAGTAAGTAGTCCCATTTTAGGGCAAAGCATGAGTAATATAATGAAGTTCAGTATCAGTGACAAGTCATTGAGCACAATGTCTGCCTCATAATAAAAGTTTAATACATGTTTAAACTGAATTAATTCTGTTTGTTTTTAAACACAGAAATTTAAGCCTACAAGAAAAAATTCTTAATTTATTGTCTTAAGCCTTGGAAAACCTGCCTATTTTTATTTCATGGTAGTTCTATTAACATTTGAATTTTACTTATTATCTGTTGTTACTTGTAGTTGTATCATTTTGAAATACAAAATGAAAACAAATTTAAGAATTTTCTATTACACGTTTTCAAAACTTTTTTCTATACTCTCTTTATAGGTTATATGTAAAGTCAGATGTGCCACTGAACTTGACAAACACAGGTAAGTTTCATGAGTAGCAAGGTTTAAATTTTATTCACAGTGGACTTCTCAAGGTTGAAGGGCATGGTGGTTAAGGGTGCCTTGGCAGCTTTATAGAAAATCAAATTAGATTAGTTCGTAGGAAGTGAATTGAATAACCCACAGTACTTTCTCTGCAGCCATATTGCTGCCTAATACCTTTTTTTGCTGCTCTGCTACTATTCCTGCTTCAGATGTCAGAGGTAGTTTCATAGGGTCCACAAACACTAAAGTTAGATTATGCTGTTTGGGGAAAGAACATATTGTATAGCTGCAAGAAATAACTAATGTTTCAATACTGATTTCCCTCAAAAATTCAAGCCAGGACACTTGATAACTATGCAACTCATTTAACATCTCAATGCTTTGGTTTCCTAAAGTGCTATAATCCCCAGAGTATATTAATAATTTCAAGATCTATTTTAGGTTTAAAACTATCTGATTATTGTAGTTAATATTTAATCTGAGAGAATATTAATATCTAAACTTCTCAAACTAAAATCTTTGTACTTTGCATGTACACTTGACAAACATTGCTTGTTACACATTACCTTCAATTTACCATGCATAAACTATAGCCAAAGGCTGACAACAATTTATGACTTCCACTATTGAAAGAGATTCAAAATAAAAGATATTAGTATGCCAAATAAATTTCTGGATCATATTACTTTGGGGTATAAAATTTATCTGAACTGGGATTGCTTTCATACAGATAGCTGTTACCGCTACTTGATGTAGATAGCCACACCTTACCTGAAGAGTTTTTATGAGGTGGTCTAATTTTTCTTAGGAGCAAGTTTTTAAGCATTTCATTTTCAGAGTTTCTCTGTATGCATAGTATATATGCAACTTTATAAGAAGAGGAGGTGTTGATAAGTGCTTGAAACTCTACTGTCCTTATGTTCTTTAGTCATGTTTGAAAGTAATGTTTGCTATGGATATTCAGAAGTTCATAAAATTAAATATTGTCTAAAACATATTTCCCTTACCTCTTAAAATTAATATTAATAATTACTTTTAAATTTAGGTAGTTTATTAATTTTCCAGGCAAATTATAAAAACCTGGTAATTCTTGGAATGGAAAGATCAATGAAAATATGCTTAGTAGTTACAAAAATGAAAAATTCAGGATTGCTTGAATTAGTGTTAAAATAATCCTACATTCTTCCTGGTAAAGGCAATTGAATTCAAGTCCATGTGAAATTATTTTTAAATTCATGCTTTAAAATCTAATGCCATTTTGAAATGCTTTAGATACTAATTTTATAGCATCGATAGCTCAAGTAACTGAGTGATTATTAAATTTGTATTTAATGAAATTACAAACATTTTGAACTGAAAGAATTATTGTACCTAAAGTAACACACTAATAAATTTAACTTTTCATTTGTTTTATAAATATCTAATAAAGTCATTTCTTTTTCTTTCAGAATTCTATTGCATTTGGGCTTTATATTGGCAAGCCTTGTCTTTTTAGTAGTGAACTTGACTTGTGCAATGATAGTCCATGGAGATGTCCCAGAAAATCAGTTGAAATGGACTGTGTTTGTTCGAGCGTTAATTAATGATAGCTTGTTTATTCTTTGTGCCATCTCTTTAGTTAGTTATATATGCAAAATTACAAAAATGTCATCAGCAAATGTCTACCTCGAATCAAAGGTAAGCATATTTCTTAAATTTTCACTTAAAAATATAACTTCAAGTTATCATCATATGAAGCATATTTTAATGGGAAGATAATATATTCTTTAAAGAATTCTGAATGTTGGGAACATTTTTGAGCATGAAGGAATGGTCACAAGAAGTTAAAAAGTATTCAAAACTTGGCACTTCACTAACTGATGATTTTTATAAAGCTTATACTAAGCATGTTATATTTTCTATGATTTATATCTTTTGCATTGGAGGCTAATTAAGTGAAATAACCCAAAATGTATATTAATGTATCACAAATAATCTAATACATAAAGCCACAGTAATAATTTAATATTTACTGTGTAGGGGTGGCAGTGTGGCCATTAATTACCATATTATGTCTACATACATTTGGGTTAGCAGTGTTAAGATTCCGTACTGGTAAAGTGGTGTTTATTTGTACTAAGGTTTAGAAAATGTTATTTCACCCCATAATATGAAGTCCCTATGATGTTTGAAACAGTTAATCATGTAACTAAATTTATAAATGCCTTCATTCTCCCTTATACTTTGGATCAGCAAACAAAAAAGCAAATGCTAGCCCATTAACAAAGAACCCTGGAAGTTTCTATTGTTGTTGATTAACATTGTGGGTGAACCATGAATCAGTCATCACAGTGTATTTGTGGTGTTGGATATGGGGGTATAGATGTGTGGTTATTGGGATATGAGTTTATACATGTAAATGATCTCATTTGGCATTATTGTCTATTCACAGAAAATAAGCAAGATAGTATCCTAAACAGAACAGTTCTCTGAAATATTTGTAGACTTCCATGTTGTTGTTATCCTTAATATAGTCCTAGTAAAGTCAGGTATTATAATTAAATGTATGGTAGTCAACTTGTCTTTACATTTAAGTGGAGACTTTCATTTGACTTTTTAAATATATGTCAGTTAAATGAAGAATAAATATAGAAATCTATATATATAAAAGCCCAGCAACCGGAATGGTGGAACAACCAGAACGACCGGAACAACCAGTGGCTATGATGCGCACTGCGGCAGCCAACCAGCCTGATGTGGGCCCCAATCGGCTCATCCCCAGCTGGCCCCCAACATCCCGATCCCGGGCAGGGCCAGCTGGCCAATTGCCTGTGGCCCCTCCCCTCTGCCAGCCTGGCCCAATGGGCCCCCATCAGGTGCACCGGCTGGACCCCACCCATGCACGAATTTGTGCACTGGGCCTCTAGTATATACAGTGGGGCCTTGACTTACGAGTTTAATTTGTTCCGTGACGGAGCTCGTAACTCAAATTACTCGAATGTCAAATCAATTGTGAATGAGTGAGACACATGATGCTGGGCTGATGTTGTGGCGTTCACTGTGACGTTCGCTGCACCAACTAGCGGTGGGGTATCTGAAGCTGGCTCATAACCCGAATTTTAGCTCGCAACTCAAAGCAAATAATCAGCCGAGAGATGGCTCGTATCTTGAAAAATTCGTTAGTCAGGACACTCATAAGTCAAGGCCCCACTGTACTAGTATATAATATTGTTTATGAAGAGAGAAAGAAAGGGTGTGGGGAAGGGAGAAGAGACTAAACTTAAACTTTCAAACCTATTCATCTTACATGGAAAATTATTTTATTCAACTTACGTTCTAAAAAGTTCCTAAATTTAAGTATTTTAGTTAATTCTGGTTTCAGTTTAAGTGTTAAAAATAATAGTTACTATTATGATACATACATAATCTTTTGGTGTAGCAATAGCACCCTCACTTAATATAATAACATCACCATATAATTCATATGTCTTGCTTGTCTAGTGATAAAGCATAAATAGATATGGTTGACTTTAAAGGTCTTTTCTGGTTACCAAATAACTTTTTCTAAGTTTGTTTTTACGTGCTTTGAAATAGATAGTTCTCTGAATATAGTAATATTCCCAATCTGAGAAGAAAAGTTCATCTGATAACTCCTCCAGAATTATTTCAGACATCTTCCCCTAACTGTCAAGTGAATGGTATTCACTTTGTTATTTTTTTAAACTCTTAAATTTAAAAGGTGCATGGATTCAGAATTCTCTAGGAACATTACAGAGACATGTTCAAATACATACCTATAAAGCTAAATATAAGATACTGGATTATTTGTATTATATTGTACTGTCAGGTCATAAACTTCTTTATTTAAAGAATACATCATCTTGCTTTCACGTTCTCCTTGTAAAATTACTAAGCTCAGTTTTGGGTTTTTTTCGTCTGTAACAATTACAGTAATGGCCATTTCTTTGATTCAATCAACAAATGTCTGTTGAGCCATGTGCCATCTCTTTTTTCACGCTGATACTGTTTCTTGGTATCCGTAAGAGCATTTCCTTAAAGCTCAGACTTGAGTCTTCTGTTTTTCTCATTTTATTCCTTCCTTCTACATATTCAGTAATAATGAGATTTTCCATAATTTGTCTCAAGCAAATCTGACCTACCTTATTTGTAAATGTCACATAGTATACTTTCCTGTCTGTATGTTAGGTTGTTTCGTCTTTCAGGAATGCCTTTTCCCCTCCCAGTGCTCTCTACCTATTTGTCCTTATCTTACCTAACTTTAAAGGCATAACTCTAATGGTTCCCCTTTTTAGGAATGCTTCTTCATCTCCAAAATAAAATTGAGAAATACCACTGTATCTGAATTCTCTTAAATCTTTATTATTTTACCAACTAGAACAGAACTATATGATTTGGTTCCCTTTTTCAAAGTAGCAACTCTAACTTGCTTTTTAAATATAAGTTATTGTCAATTTGAATAGCTTATTTGTGCTCTTTTATTTTTTTATTTTCTTACATATTTAAGGTTACTTTATACCATGTTTATGTTCTGATATAGATATTTTATATATTATTTTGTAAACTAATAAAGGTATTTAGCAATATGTTTTCTCAAGTACTGCTTTGGCAGCTTCCTATAATCTTGTTATATTGTTATTTATATTCTTATTTAACAATAACAAAGAGCATTTGCTGTTTAGATTTCAAACATGTCTCAAACATTACATATTACACATCAGTGTAAATTAGATATTATCTCTGTATAAAATTCTTCCTTCAATTCACTTTGGCGGGAAGTCTAAAATTCAGGCATCTGTCCTGTTCAGGCCCTCTAACTACCATAAGAAGTTACCAGTTTTACTCTCTGCTTGATTGTTCATGCATATGAATCTGGTATACTAAACAATGTAGAGATTTCTGCCCTCCAGGTTTTGGTTAGAGAAAATAAACCCTCAATTGTTAAATTCAAAACCTTAATTTCCAAAAAGGTTACCTAATGGAGGTATGGTCTGTCCATTTCCCTCCCTATCTAGTCTACATTTTATCCTCAGCCCAATCCAGATCATTGCAGAGTTTTGTACTAAGGCTGAATTGTACCCTGAATAGAGTTGTCTTTTCCGACCTACGCTTTGATACCATGCTTTAACATACATCAAGAAATATGTAAGAAATTTCTTGTAAAAAATATTTATCTTAAAATCATCTATATATATAAAAGCCTAAGCAACTGTTACGACTGAATGACTGGAATGACCTGTCAACCAGTCCCTATGACGTGCACTGACCACCAGGGGGCAGACGCTCAATGCAGGAGCTGCACTCTGGTGGTCAGTGCGCTCCCACAGGGGGAGTGCCACTCAGCCAGAAGCCGGGCTCATGGCTGGCAAGCGCAGCTGCACTGGTGGGAGTCTCTCCTGACTCCATGGCAGCGCTACTGAGTGGTAGTGGCAGGCACAGCAGGCCGGGATGAGCACAAGCAGCGTGGCACCCGGCCCCGGCTCCTCCCTGGCCACCTGCCGCTTGGCACACCGCTACATCCCTCAGGGGATGTCTGATTGCCGGTTTAGGCCCAATCCCTGCAGGACTGGCCTAAACCGGTAGTCGGACATCCCCTGAGGGGTCCCGGATTGCAAGAGGGCACAGGCCATGCTGAAGGACCTCCCCGCCCCGTGCATGAATTTATGCACTGGGCCTCTAGTTATTATATAATATTGCTGAGGATATTGTCCACACAGTGCTCCCCAGAAAAGATCTTTTCCTCTAATTCAGAACCAAGTAAAACATTATTGATTAAATCCTTCCTTTCTCTGGTTACTGTGTTGGTCAGTGGCAATTATGTGGCTCAGCAATCATAGATGACCTTGTGATATCCATTTTTGGTTCTGACTCTACTTCTAGTTCCTTCTCAATTTTTTATCACCATCTCCCTCACTCCCTACTGCACACACACATTCCTATGTTCATTTTGTGTGTGTGTGTGTATCTATAACTACTCAGATTCTCTTTTGCAGTGTGGGTGATATAAATACAAAGTTGGATTGGATATATTTTTGGATATGTTTATATCTTTTTTCAGGTATATCAATTTTTTAAATTAATTTGTAAAGACCTTATTGAGAGACTGTGTATCATAGTGATTAAGAGTTGGAAACCTGGGATCAGAGAGATAAGGATGCAAATCCCATCTCTCCTTTTTATTGGCTGTATGACATTAGAGAAGTAGCTTCACTCTCCTGATCTATAAAATGGAACTAATGATAGTGTTAATCTCATAGGTTGTTATGAGGATAAGAGTAGTATCTACCCTATAACATTTAAATTAATTTGTAAAGACCTTATTGAGAGACTGTGTATCATAGTGATTAAGAGTTGGAAACCTGGGATCAGAGAGATAAGGATGCAAATCCCATCTCTCCTTTTTATTGGCTGTATGACATTAGAGAAGTAGCTTCACTCTCCTGATCTATAAAATGGAACTAATGATAGTGTTAATCTCATAGGTTGTTATGAGGATAAGAGTAGTATCTACCCTATAACATTGTTATAAAAAATAAATGAAAATGCATATAAAGTGCTTAGTATAATGCCTAGCACTTGGAAAATGCTTATAAATGTTAGCTATTATCTCTTTTTTAAAAATATATTTTTATTGATTTCAGAGAGGAAGGGAGAGGGAGAGAGAGAATCATTGATCTGCT